TGACAGTTATGGGTTCAAAATAAAGACATTAAAAGTAAGTAATTAAGGAAAAATTATAATAATAACATACGTCAATTAAAATGTTTAACTATTACAGCTATAAAACCAAGTAAAAGGTATTATAATAAATACAAATGATAAAATACTTTGTATAAATTAGAAAAAAATAATAATAGTAAAAATAAACCATTTAAGTAGAAGTTAGTAGGTGATGCAATCTATATTCATATGTGTAATATATGAGATTAATGTTTATTGAATTACCTAAGCTTCGAACTAACTTGTAGGTCTTCATCAGTGCCTTCGTCCAGCAGCCAGAGTTTTGGTCAGTTCACTTGCCTGATATACTACTATATATATATATATATATATATATATATATATATATTACAATATCGCACTATAAAGTTCCATTAGTCACTTAAATGGCCCCTTATACGCAGAATTTAAGCCTATTTAAGAAGATATTGATAGTATCAATGATGTGCAGTGAGGTCTAAATCGAGTGTGATTTTCGAAAAAATTAAGACAATAAGCAACGATTCCAAGCATTATCTTTTTTACTTACCTTTACTGACCTCAGTAAGCATCCTATTAATTTTCTTTCGAATGTATAAAACCCCTGACAACTTCGAATAGTAACTCTCCTGGTGTAACTGTATTTTCTAGGTGGTACAAAAACCATAACTGTCCTTAAATAATTTCGAAGATTATTTTACTTCATTCCTCAAAATACAGGGCAGCAAGTCGTATCCTGTCTTGTTTTTCTCAATTCAACTACTAAATACAACTTGGTGGACGCAGTGCTATAGAGGAGAATAAAGAAACTTATGAATTGCTTCATAATTCTCATGTCTCCTCTTGTTATGCCTAATTGAAATAATCACCCTAACGAAAGCAATATTAATTTATATCGAAATTGCTACAAGCTACTTTTTAATTGATCATTAAGTCAGGTAATGAATCAAAAATTAGAACATTGTAATTACTTGGAATAAACCATTTTATCAATCCTTTAATACATTTTCATATTTAAACATTTTATTGAATACATACAATAAAAATACTTTCATACTAGTAATAATACTTCATAAAAAATATAATTATGATAAGCTTATGTCCAATTTCGTTTTTTTTCAGTCTTCTGTTCAAACAAAAATGAGAATAGATCTTTTCAGGCGCAATAGGACATACAGTTCTGCGACGCTTTAAAGTCGTGCAAGATAGTCGCACCAAGCGTTGAAGGCGACACTCGTTTAACTGGAAGATTCCTCTTCAGAATATTAAGAATAAAAAGTAATTAATTACAATAGTTACTGATGTAAATGTTAGTTATAAAACTCTTATTCTATTACAGAAAAAACAAAATTTCTGATAAAAAGTTATTTGTTAGAAAAATTCATGAATTTAATATTTATTTTATTAGACACCACAAATTTATTATTTTATTAAATTTTTATTAGACATACTGAGCAGTATAGAGACGTAAATCCCCGGGACTTTTGGACTTTTTTATTACAAAAGCACTGTGAACCGTACCACAATCCATAATTACAAACTCTGATCTTTAATATGATCATTATGCAGAACATCTATATGAAGGCTTAAACGTACAGAGACCATCACTAGCCAACCGACCAATTGACTGGGAGCTTCATAGAGAGATTTTATACTCGAAAATTTATATCTTAGTTTCTACAAAAAGTGAAAATTGACCTCCACCTTCCCGCAGGCTTATAAGGACACTTTAACAAAGATTTTATATAAATTTAAATGGAGATAACAACAGATTAATAAGAGGGATGTCCACAGCTGAAATCTCCTTCAAAATAAGGAAGATGAAGATAAAAAGGCATTGGATGAGAACTCTCCTTCCTTAAATAACCTAAGTAAATGAAATAAGTCACGGAAGAGTTGCTGCTATTCCTTGTATTTTAAGCACATTTGCTGATTTTCGATATAAATTTGACGGGTGAAAATATATGTTTTATCCAACAAAAAACAAATTTATTAATTAACTCTTTGATCCGATTTTCCAACAAATAAAAAATCGATTCTTTCAAGCGATCACACGTAATCATCTTTTCAGCTGAGATGTGACTGGCTACCAAATGGCTACCACCGTACAGATGGATTTTAGACAGGTTTGCCGATATAGCTATAAAAAAATTGTCTAAATTCAGCTAATACAACTCGCGTAATATAAAATTTTCTTTTGATTTTTTAACCAACATCGTATTTCCTCATAATCTCTATACAAAGGTTATATGAAACAGTAGACATAATAATATAAGAAACATAAATATTTAGAGGACTGTATTAAGCAAATATTGCAGGGACAATTAATTTTGAAAATACTCTACGTTTTCTTCTTAGTTTTTGTCCATAGCTAATAACAATGAAAAGGCAATATATTTATTCAATAAATAGACAAATCGACATTTAGTTTTGGTTTTTAAATTGCAGGTCGAACTGAAGACTACGTTCAATGATATTTTATATAATATAGTAGTTACCAAATAATTTAAGTTCGTTATAAAAGTTTTCACGAATAACCATGAGTTTATGAATTATTTTTACCTTAATAATTCAGATCAGGATTACCTGTGGACCTACTGGACCTTTACCTGTGGACCTTTACAAATTTACGGGACAGCCTGAACGACCCACATACGAAAACTACAAACTTTTCAGCCAAAAACGTACATGACCATAACTAACTCACAAACATTATTTTACATAAAGACCTTCAAATGCCAACTGTTAACGACTACATACGGACACACTACAAACGATTTCACAATAACTTACATGGACATACTATCACACTTATACAAAGTATGGCTACATTTAACATGCCCAACAACACCCTTAGGAGGCTCAAAAGAGGCTCAAAAGAAGCTGGATGAGGGATTTCTTTGCTTAAAAAATGCTAAATTTCAGACAGGAAGGGATGCCACTGGGCAATTCTCTCCATAGTGCCTATCAAGCCACTACCTGTACTCTTATCGATAGCAGATCCGTTAATTATCATTGCTTATGGTAGGTGTGGGTGAAGAAATAGAGTTAAAAAAAAGTGTGTCAAAAATTAAAACAAAACCTATTTAAAATTTTTATACTAAAACGCAGTAGATTTTACTGATTCCTCTTCACATATTACTATATTGCATTAGTGGTATGATTTTATTTGTCTTTCTCTGACAAATGTTCAATATAAAATCCAACAATAATTGTTGTCTTGAAGAAATAATAAGATTAATTAGGTAATATTTGAATGTTTATATTTTCCCCATTAGATCAGGATTTTTATCTTCGATAGTCGCTCAATAATTCATATTATTTTATTTTACATTTTAAACCCACAGAAGGTTTCGTTGTACCTTCATCATACTAATCTCTTTTCCCTAATTTTTTCCGTAAAAATTGTATATAAGATTTCGACAGTGTTCATGTCCTTCGTTTCTTTTCATATTTCTCAAAGAATAGGAATCTTCTTTGTAGGATATTGCGAACATCCAATAAGATGCTGTCTGACAAAGAGTTGTCCTGTTTTATATGAAACATAAAATGAGACAATGAACTTGAATACTCTTCCAATATTTTATAACGTTTCAATAGAAAAATTAAGGAAAAAAATTATGAATATGGTTCAAGTACTTTAAAGCTTCTCTGGGTTTGAAGATATAAAGAAAAAATAATATAAATTATTGAGAGACTGTGAATGGTAATAACCTTGATATTCAAAGAAATAATAAACAGTAAGAGCTGTAGTGATCATAACTAAAATTTCGAGTATTTATTAACAGACCGTGATCAGTTAAAAATCGATATTAATTGAAATAAAGCAACGAAGTCTGGAAAAAAGGAAAAATTCTAAAAAATATATACATACCTTTAAAACCAGCAATAAAGGAATAAATTTAAAAGTCATTCCTTACCAATCTTTAAAAGTAATACTCTAATTACTCCACAAGAGTCGTTTTGCACAAATACATCAGAGAAAATATTTTTACACGCCTACAGGGAAGGGACTAAATTAGTAAGTGAATCATAAACACTATTGTAAAAAATCTACTGAAAAAACATCACGAACAAATCGAGAAGTAGCTTTATTTCAACATTTTCAGCAATAATTCATTTTTGTTCAAAAATTCCACTCATGGCCTTCATACACTTGACTCATCAATTATTATATTTCACCTTGACATTAATTCTTTAAAGCATAACAACCAAAATGTCTTCTGTTTGGCAAGTAGGTTGCTTCATCTATTTTTATTCAGTTCCAGTTTAAGTTGATCGTTTATTATGAAAATACTAGAACTGTAGCAGGTATTAATTAATTTCCAATTCGTTTTCACCGACCATATTCAAATTAATTATTACAATTCTTATTATCTTCAGTAATTGGAACATGAATAAACCAATATCGTGGTTCTCGATTTATACCCGATGTCCTTCGTTGGTCATCAGTTCAGTTCTGGCAACCTACCATGGCCGACCAAGCTGCCATCTTAGACTCAGATATCGTCGATGGTCTAAATGTGAGATACCTGAAGTTGTTGGGATTGTGGAAAGCCGTAAACGATTACAGAACTACAGGGAAGAAAAACATTTTTCTTAAATTTAGTGTTGCCACAACACTCCTTCTTATGGTACCTTACATGGTTTTTCAATATATGAGTTTTTGGATGATAGAAGTTGACATACAGAAGGCTACATTTATAAATTTGCAAAATCTTCCAGCTATGCAGTTGTGCTGTAAGGCTCTTGTGCTTTGGTTTCGAATAAGGAGCCAGTGCAAGTTATACGATTTGATAAAAAAGGATTTCATCACAATTCCAAAATATAAAGAAGAAGCAGCCTCAAAGATTTTTTTAAGGATAACTTCGGAATGTAACAAACTTTGCTGGGCTGCGTTTTTAGTCAATGGAAGTATAGCTATCTTGTATATAATCCACCCTAATATATCTGTTGATTACATTCTGTACCACACTGGGAACATGCACGCAGTAACTACTGGCAGGAAAAAGATCTTAGGCGGATGGTATCCTTTTCCGATTGATAGATATCCTTATTACGAAGCTATATACGTTGTTGAATCAATACTCAATATCTGGGGAGCACTTTTTTTGGCAGTTTACGTTTGCCTTTTCTATCAAGTCCTGATGTGTCTTTACGCCCAGTTTTCTGTTTTAGCTTATCACGTATCGACACTAAAATTTAGTTCTATAGGTGATGGTAAAGAGATGGGATCTACCAACACTAAACTTTATGAAGATCTTTACAAAGCACTTAAAGAGCATCAAAAACTTTTAAGGTAATTAACAATAATGTTACAGGTAAGTGATACTTTAAAAAAGAATATGAATTAATGCATCTTAATAACAGTAGAAATTTATTTCTAATATAGTTAGTAAATCATAGAATATTATTTAATGATTATTATCAACTTGATACAATTAATATAAACGATGAAAATTCTATACAATATATTATTTTTTTCGAAACGAAATAAAAAAGTTTTATATACATTTTACGTATTTTGTGGATATTCTATTTTTCCATTCAATAATATTAAATTAAGTATTTAATCCACCAACAGAACCTTCAAACAATAAATTCTATCAACTTTTTTTTTGTCTATAATAATGTATTTGCGGCTGTCAACTTATTGTTGAAATTTGATAAATGTGCTGGAGATACAGGAAATATTGATATGGCGGGCACGTGGAAGGAAAGTACTCCGCAGCACCTCTAACCTGACCTGCTTCAATTACTTAGTATTTACTTATCAAAGGAAGGAGATCTCTCCTCCAACACCTTTTTAGTCTCCTCCTCATGTTCAGGAGTATGTCAGCTGTGGCCATGCCTCTTATTTTTCTGTCATTATGCCCTTTTAAAGCAGTGTATACATCAACGATCAACGATCGACGATCAACCATATTACACTACTTTAAAAGGGCATAATGACAGAAAAATAAGAGGCATGGCCAAAGCTGACATACTCCTGAACATGAGGAGGAGACTAAAAAGGTGTCGGAGGAGAGATCTCCTTCCTTAGATAAGTAAATACTGAGTAATTGGAGCAGGCCAGGATAGAGGTGCTGCGGAGTACTTTCCTTCCACGTGCCCGCCATATCAATATTTCCTGTATCTCCAGCACATTTATCAAATTTCAACAATAAGTTGACAGCCGCAAATACATTATTATAGCCAAAAAAAAAAGTTGATAGAATTTATTGTTGACAATCAGCAACTGTGATGGCGATACATGAAATAATGACATGACAGGCATGAGGAAGGAAAGTACTCAGCACCTCTTCCCTAACTTGTTCCAATTACTTAGGTTGTTTAAGGAAAGAGATCTATCATCCAACGCCTTTTTTGTCTCCTCCTCATGTTCTGAGGTATGTCAGCTGTGGCCATGTCTCATATTAGTCTGTTATTATGTCCATTTGGCTTTGTCTAAAATCGTTGATAAAATGTCGTTATATGTTGGTCGAATGTTGAAACATATAGGTCAGTATGTAAAGTTTTGTTCGTCACGTATCAAGGTGCTTTTGTTATGAGTCGCAATAATTTTGATTTGTAGATTTTGTAAATATATGTGCATATTGGTTTAACTAAGTACAGGTATATATTTAGTTGCTGTGTCAGTTCTAGTTTTGAAGATTTGGAAGAAGTGAATAAGGTAGTTTAAGATGTCTATTGAGGGTGTTACGTTTTATTTTTACATGTGGGCTCCATGTTATCCTTCTATCGAAGGTAACTCCAAAATAAGGTACCGTGTCCGATAGAATTTGATTGTTGTCTATATAAACTGGAGAGCGCATGTTTTTTCGATAAGTAAATGTTATATGTTTGGATTTGTCATGATTAAGACGAATTTTTAATAGATTAAATCAATTTTATAATTTAGGTAAGTGATGTTGTAGGGTTAATCAGGCCTGTTTAGTGTCTTGATGTCTTGTGAGAATTGTTTCAACCCAATTTTTTTTTAATTCAATATGTTTACTTTGACATGTACAGTGTATTTTGGACGATAATGTTATGTGTGTTAAGTTAAGTAATGCTGATAATGAAGCTGTGAAGCAGTTGAAAATATGAACGTGGTAGTGTTCCTACTAATCGTTGTTAGTTATCCTCTTGCTAATTCCTCAAACAAGTTTACGGACCTGATTCAAAAACATTTAACACAAAGCATAAGATATAAAATATTTGGTTTCATATTCGAAGAACGTAAATAATAAGATAACAATTAAATTGAGAAGGATTCAATTTAAGAAGAACTCAAGTGAGTTTTGTTTTTAGTGTTCTTTGTAACTCTTAAATATGGAGTTTTATAGAAATCTCAAAACTTATTAATTGATTTTCTAGATTTTTTTCCGGTCAATAACTAAAGCATTCATAACTTTAATTCATAACTTAAATTGGATTTTTTTCAATTTTAACGTTAGTACAACTGTTGGAAAGCTGAATTACTGCTTCTATAAATAACAATAATAACTTATATATTTCGTTCCTCTTTAATTATAAATTATGAAAAAAATCCGAAAATTCTTATTCTATATCTTTAGTTTAAATTTGTTTACAGAGCTCGGTTTTGTACCACGTTGTATTGCGTAGCATACACAGACAGCCCTAAATTCCTAATCATTTTTGTGTGGATCGGTGGAGCCTTTCTAAGGTGATCAAACTTTGTGTGATTGTCCACAAAATTTTGAAATTTCCAGCCCAGACAAACATTTCATGAAGAGATTGTAATATTTCGATTGGTATGAATATTTGCATTTGACGGTATTTTGAGATGCGGTAAACGAATATTGACCTTAGTTCTCTTTAAACAAATATTGACTTCCATATGGCTAAGTCGGTCCATACAAATTGTGCCCATATTGTAGATATTTGTCGAATATAACATATATTCAAAAACCGCCTGGTATCTTGTTTAAATATATATTGTTTTAGGGAAAATAAAGTTTATATTCATTCGCACCTTTAAAACAATTAAATACGATTTTTTATAGAAATTAAAAAAAATAATCTTTTTTAACAATGCTTGTCTTCGGAACATTGTCGCCAATTACAAATATTGTGATACCTTTTGATATATAAGTATTGTATAACATAAGTATTGAGGGCTTTATATTCTACACAAAAAGAAACAAAACCGTAAACAAAGTAAAGTAAACACTTTAGAAACAATGATTTGAATTTAAATGATTAAGAAGTTTTTCTTAATTTATATTTTAAAAATAAATCTATTTTAAAAGTTATTGACGTGGATTGGAATAGCAGTGAATCAGGTTTTCTTCGGTTGTACTAACGTTGAATTTAGAGAAAATTCTGAGAAGTTATGAATGCTTTAGTTATCGGTCGAAAAAAAATCCTCTTATAAAATCAAGTAATAAAATTCACAAAGTTTAACTTTTATAAAAGTACGTATTTAAGAGTTTCAATGGACACTAAAAAAGAGTCTAACTTGTTTTTCAAAACATAAATTTGTTTATTTATTTGGTAGTTCAAAATAAAAACATTTTTATACATAAATATAGATCCAAACTTATGTTACAGTTTTGTTTGGTGCTACCTTCAATTTATTAACATTAAATCTTGGATATTTAAATCTAATACTTAGAAAAAAAGAAGAACAGAAGAAGAGCATTGACGTTAATACATTAAAATGCAGAGCAGTGTCCGCGTATAATAAAATAATATATTACATTAGTATCACATTATTAAAAATAAAATTTCTATTGCACTTCACTATCACGAATGGTGTAATTACCATCATAACAGTTCGTCAGATAAATTTATAAAAAACGATTAAAAGTAAACTATATAAAACAAAATATTCGGGTATATAGATACATATATCCTACGTAACATGAAGTAAGATAAATGAGATTGCCTAAACATCAAAAGTAAATATCTATTTTCAAGTCCAATAACATTTTTGATTTCTATAAAAGTTCGTATTTAAAAGTTTCAATAGACACTAAAAACTATTGTAACTTGATTTTTCATAAACAAAATTTACTTAGTGTACTTTACTGGTTTGGTTCTTATTATTTATGAAACATGATAACTTATTTAATACATTTGTCAATATTTTTTTCTTATTCAGCACAGAAAAATAAACCGATTGATACATAATAACCTAAAATTCCAGGCAGAGCAAAACAAAAGGAATATAGTATCACCGAAAATAAATTTGGTTGAAATAGTGAGCAATTGACTTTAGCCACGCCCTTGTCAATAGAAAATCTGGTGTGTCCCCTCACACTACTTTTCTACTGATTTTAGATAGATAAATTTAAACATGTCTATTAAAAAAAATTGAATTAGATAAAATAGCCTAAAAACTGATCATAAAAATGATTACAGTACGAATTATTTGATGAACTAAAGCAATGTAAACTTTCATAGGCTCTGAATACGTGGAGGGGGGCGTTTGCCCCCCACCAAATAAAAATATTGAGAGGGCATGATTATCGTTTCGCCCCCCTTCCAATAATTTGAAGTAGAAAGAATTAAAATTGATAACAAATAAGATAGGTGAATGAATAAAATCGGTTAAAAAAATTCGACTAGCTGACTAAGCTAAGGTACGCGACTATTTTATCACGACCTTAATATTCCTATTATTTGAATTTTCATTAAAATTCTGAGATGATAATTTAGAAACATTTAATATGATTATGATTAAACTCCCCTCTCATGTGTAGACCTCCAATTTCACGTGATTTTCTTATAAATTTTCTCCAATATAGTAAGAAAAATATATTTTATAAGTATAACTTGAGATATATTTTATAGAGAGACATTTATATATAACTAGTTATACTGCAAGAACATTGTGTTTTTATTTCAAGGTTATGGAAATCAAGAAATCAAAAATATTTTTTAGTTTTTTTAATATTATTCATTTTTAGTTGAAAAAGTTATAGAAATTTACCCATGTTATGCAGACTTAACCTTTTTTTTTCCATATTTAATTTGTACAAATTATAATGAATTCAATTTTTTTATTCAAATATTTTCAAGTATATCCATACAAAAACAAACTATACAACTTCTAAACTTATTTTGAAATATTCAATATTATATTTACTCGTATCACTATAATTATGTTGAATTTTCACACATAATTATAACTAATGCCCATTTGTTTCTTTCTTTTTGTCCTTCTCCCCCGAATTAAAATAGAATTCAAACGTTAAGCAAACCATAATTAAAATCAAAAGTCAAATTAAATATGTTCTAACTTTACTAAAACTTATTCGAGTTAGATAATTATTTTTTAGTTTTCTTGGAAATT